ACATTCAGCGTAGTAATAAGCGGCGTGGCGACCGCTTTAACCACTACGCCATCTGTGCAGTCAAACTTAATGGAAACATATCGATATCCTTATTTTTACTAATAGAATTATATTCCACTTGGAGGCTATTTAAAGGAGAGGAACAGCCTAGGTTAGTTGTGGATCGCTCAGGTGTGAACAAGGACTTTCTAGACAATCTTTGAAGTTTATGGGTGATAGTGATATTAAATTTTTGTAGCAGATTAGGACAATATGCATTACCGTTGATTAACTTGTGTAAAAAAGATAGATCTAAAATTTTGCGACGTTTTTTTAATCATATTATCTCGAAATGAGTTAGTCGGTTTTTGTAACTAGTTAGCGTCTTAGACAAGTTAAATTTCTATGCCAAATCTTTTTTGGACGCGTTTAAATTTATTGGAATGAACTTCAAAATGCAAATCTAAAAGATATTATATTGTAATACAAATCTAAAAGAAAACAAAAGATATGAGCTAAATATTATATTAATAATTTTTTATAAGTAAAAGGACCAGAGCATCTGCTATCTAACTTTTGTACAGTTTGGCAGAAGTTTGTAATTTATAAAAATGTGAAATGATAGTCATGAAAATAAGCATTCATTCAATCGACGGCAATAAGCATTCTCCCTGTGTTACGTGCGACTAACATTAAAGTCGCCTTAAAGCGAGTGATTAATACGCCCCTGTCTACCCCGGGAAATAGATGAGAGTATAAGTAGGTATGGACCTATGTAGTGATGAAAATATCAATAAGGAAAGAACAAGCTAATAGCATATTATTTTTTAATTAGATCGAAAACCTTTGAAACGCAAACATATAAAAAAACAATAATATTCCTCAAACATTATGACGTTAATCCGGATGAGCGGGAAACCATATGAAGGTGTAACTATTCCACTCACGTACCAAAAGGTTATTGAAGGAAAACAGAATGTCACGCGCGAAAACTTTCGTCTTTTTGCTTACAACCAAGTGTCGGTTTGAATGAAGTAATTTTCCTTCCGCATAAGGCCTGGTAATCGTCAACGTTCAGCTAAATAAACATTCTAGGCAGTAAAAAATTGCACGTGTATATAAAAAGAGAAATAAAAATAATGGGATATGCCTACAAGATGTATGTGTTTTTTATACAACTCAGTTAGTAAGCAAACTCACGAGCTCAGTCATGAATGATTATGCTAGTACACCACTAAGTATACCTTAATGCCATTAAAGTATACTGGGTGAAAAAAGACTATTTGATTTTAAAGAATTAGAAAGCATTGAATAATAGTTATTATATTAATAAACTACTAATTATCAAAAGAAATTCTGATGCTTAAACAATACAAAATCTATGAAGCCATAAGGCTGCTAACAAACAGTAAACTGAACAGGTTAATGGGCTGATTCTGCCGAGAGGCAAGCAAACTACAATGCGTTGTTCATTATTGAGGTTCCGAAGCTTTCATACCATACAACAGAAATACGAGCAATCAATGCTTAAAATATATATGGAGGACGTTATACATCTAAGCACTGAGGTATGACACGAGTACAGTTACCAGAAATGGTTAATGTAGCATAGGGCACTCAAATCAACACTTTATGATGCAATATTGTAGTGTAACTTTAGATTAAAAATATTGCATCTACAACATAGATTTAGAAAAAAGAAAAAAATAGTAGTACTAGATACTGAGTACAGATGACTGCACGGATGGCGTAGTGGTCGATGAAGACACTTTGTGTGATCCTCAAATTGTCGTTCTGGGTCTGGGTGTTCTTTGTGTCCGTTTCATGTATGTTTGTAAAGTTCTTCGCGATACAGGATATATTCCTAGTGCGGGAGTTGTCTTTTTAGAAAGAAAAAACTGTCAAAAAATATGTCTGCTTCTACATTATTTTGTAAAAACTCGTTAATTAGTCGGATAGCTTGTCCCGTAGGGCTACTAACAGCTTGTGGGAGACGCTACGTTGTAGGATAAGTCAGGAGTCAGTAATGGCTATGACAACCGTGCAAGTAATTATTTGGTATATATAAATTAATGCATTCTCGCAGTGATGGATTGTCCACCCTATCGTAAAATTGCAACAAATCGTTCACAATATGAATAAAGTTTCGTCTAAGCTCAAGTGTATTAAGGCCGTCCATCCCTGACACAAACGTAGAGGAAAACAAGAAAGGGTATCGGGAAAATTCACGCTGTATTCTTTCAATGAAAAGGGTATATATTTTTTCTTGCCGGCTAAACAGTATTGAATTGTATTCCAGTCTACTACGTACGTAGGTATTATAGAGCAATTTAATAGGAACCCCAGAGCTATATTAGCGTCTATACATATTTGCCTTAAATGGTCGCGGAAGTTGAGAACTAGTGAAAGTTATGGTTTTACATTTTGATGCATTAAAGGACAATTTGTTTTAGGACTGTAGTTCAAAACAATCTGCAGTATCAGTGACAGATAAAAATAATTTCAAATCATCAGTGAACATGAAACATTGACCTCTAGAGCCGTGTTTGTAGAAATACACCAGTTGATGTTACATCAATCAAAGTCTGCAGTCCACTCAATCACTCCGCTGTAGAGATAGTTTTTCCGCATCCAATTCATCTCAGATGCCTTCTTTACTTCGTGTGTCCATCTTTCCACAAGACCGTTTTGACATACGTTAATCTATTCGCAGTCTCTTTTCTAGGAATTGTATACTCCAGCTTTTACAAATTTACCGATTATTATTCTACTGCTATATCCTCTTTATAAGCATACAAAAACTCATATCTAAGTCTCTAAAGAGGTAGGCAGAGATGTATATTACACACCCATTTTAATGTAATATATACTTATTTCTAAAAACACTGTATTAAAATGTTGTTCTCTCAAATTGTGCTCACATTTTCTACTGTCAAAAGGTTTGTATTGTGGAATATACCTGGGTATTAAATATCTTTGTCATATAAATAAACTAAAAGTATCGTACTTGTAGATTTTCATAGTAGGTAATAATTTATAGGTACTCAACAATTTGTTATGAATTCTAATTGTAGCCGGAAACCTATCTATTATTTGCTGCTTAACATTCAGTTTGTGGATGGATGCTCTTGTTGTGTTTTTAAATGTTGCATTGTTTGAAAGGCATTGCTTACCGAATCTAACGATTATTACACTTACATTATAACAATAACAAGTAATTTATAAATTCTGAAAACTTTAATTTACTAAAATATGGTCAGTTTATATCTCTGCCCTAGTAGCATCTCCAATCACAGGACAAACATACTTGACCTTGACGTCACGAGCAACTGTATTCTCCGTTCGACCATTCGAGTGTTCACCATTCGTCACTTGTTACCGTACCATACCATAATATCCTTTTTTTATCATAATTAACCTTTTTTTTTAATCCCGTAGGTGTCGTAAGAGCCGACTAAGGCAGCAAAGGAAAACTTGGAAACAAACCCTTTTTTTTTTTTTAACGTGTGGAAATCCCCTCGGACCGTCACCCCACCGGGGTTTGCGGCGGGGTGGTGTGTCGGACTCGAACCGACTAAAACCACACGGTGTGCCCTCTTTGCGCTTCCAGTTTAGGAGGGGTCCAGGTAGTTATCGCCTTCTGGACCCCTCCTAGCGCCGGCCCGCTCCTATTGCGGGCCCCGTCTCAAAATTTTTTTTCCTCTCTTTAGGCGGCGTCCGGCACACGTGGACGACGCCCCCTCGCGGCTGGCCAAACTAATGCGGGTGGAGGGGAAACCCGCCCCGTCCACCTGCGGCCACACTCAGGGCGGCATGAGGAGGAAACAAACCCTATACCAACCCGTCTATTCGGGAGTGGGTAAGGAAGCAAGCTCTGCAGAACAACAGCACTGTTAATTTATGATGCATTCATATTTTTTGAAATCCGTGTTTGGCCAAGAGTCGAAACACAATAGTGTGGGTCATCAAACCTTCCGCTAATTTGATTTCCGTATTCATGGGTCATAAATATTTTTTTATGCATATATAAATACTATTGAAATCGAAAGAGAATCGCTGGCTGCTGTAAAAACAAAAACAAGTAATTGATCTAACAATAAACTGAATCTGCTATTCATTTCATGAGTTTCAACCATTCCGTAAGGTAGTGATTTTTTTGTGTGAAGGTGAAATTGCCGCATATTGGTGAAAAAAATAGGATGAATTATTTGGATTAATTCTCGCTGATTTTGGCGGTATTTTGAAGTGAAAATTAGAAAGTAAGTAATAAAATTTTATTGTATTTCTTCAGCAAAATCTAATTATTATTATTTAGTATTTCATAAAGTAAGAGGATTCAGAGGTGATTAGTTATATTTAAAGTTGAAAGCAATGAATCCGGGTCACAAAAATATCTGAAAATCTATGAAATTAAGAATGCTAGCGTAATTGAATAAATTGTTTAACAAAAAAATAAAAGCAATATAATTTGTCTTTTTTCAATAAAGAAAAAAAGAATCTCATCTTAAGCAAAAGTTCAATAAAACCATATGTTCCTAAAATTCGCTTGTTTTTTTTTAATTTGGGCATACTCTTCCGTTCCTTAAGCTGTTGAGCTCTCGAACCTTTATTGCGGTTGGATTTCATGTCTCGATTGAGATCCGGGATACGTTCTGGCCACTCCATATAGTTAATATTCACCTCTTAAATGTATTACTTCAAAAGCCATCCCGGATTTATTGCTTTCGATTGCATAAGGTATATTCTTGATAATACACCTTTTCAATTGAACTGCAATCTAACAGTGATTATGTCCCGATTCACTTGACTAAATACCCAATGTCCTCTAGATGGAGCCGAGGGCTGACGCAGTAAACCTCTACCGAGACCAGTTTTGAGGTTCACGCTTGATCTCACTACGCGTTTTTTGCCTCAATTACTATTGTTTATCGCCAGATTTGTTAAGAAATATCAAGCCTACGTTCGCATATCTTATATTTTATTAACGTATATGTTTCGTTTCAGGATTAAATTCTTTCACGATGGTTCAAACAATAAACTCAGTCTCAGTGGAAAAGAATTACAAAAATGTGCAAAAAATGTTTCAATTGGCTGCTGCTTTACAATTGACGTCATATTTATGGCCAGTTCCATTACCTATTCAAAGTAAGACTTTATACGTATTAGAATAGAATATCTTTTATTATTTTGATATATATATATATATATATATATAAATTGGGTAGCTGATATATGGTTAAAAAGGCGGCAAATTGAGTAGTCGCCTGATTGTTATTGACTATCGCCGTCCTTAGACAGCTACAACTCCATTGACAACTTCCTTCAAGTCCTGATGAAAATCAGGAGGAGGTAAAGGCTTTAACCACTCGGGGAAAAGCAACGAAGGAATTGCTTAATACCGATTTCTGTGAGGCCGTGGATCACTTCAGTCGGTATTTAACACTTCTCCAACTGAACTTACGGTATTCCTTATCCTAGTTTACTCGTCTTATCGTTACTGATATTTCCTTTGTTGTTTTCAAACGGAACAAAGGGTTGTTCCTTCAACAAACGATCATATTACTAAAGGCGATTGACACCAGGAAGCCTGCTAGCCATAAAAAAGTATTATTTTATTCATTAGTTACAGACCACGTGAATAGAGTTTTCATGGCATTTAACAATTAAATTTGTCCGTGTGTCCCATTCATCCCGTGGGTGTCGTAAGAGCCGACTTAGGGAGCAAACTACGCGGGACCACAGTACCAACCCTTTACCAACCCATCTGGTTAGCGTGGTATTGTACGGCAATACCTTTTTAAAGAGGGGCCTATATCCAGCAGTGGACTAATGATGACGTGACGTGAACAATTAAATAAATTTTCATGGTTACAGATGGAACACATTATGATTATATAATCGTCGGTGGAGGGACTGCTGGATGTGTGGTTGCCAGTAGACTCCTTGAAATGTCTAACGTCAGTGTCTTGCTTATCGAGGCAGGTGGCAATCCACCCTTGGAATCTATTGTGAGTAGTAGGTCTTACTGGTCCTAATAATGTCCAATCAGAAACAAAAGTAGTAGCAAAAAATTGTAAGATATTAAAAGTAAAATCAATGCTGTTTTTAATTCATGTTTTCAATACGTGTAGGTATTGGTTAACGAGCAGATGGGTCAACTGACGGTAAGTGACAATCGCTACCCATGGACACCTGCAGAAGAGTCACAAGCACGTTACCGCCTTTTGACTCCCTCAATATTGAGGGGAAGGGGATTTGGGGCTCCGTTAACCTCACTCTTTCGGTAAAGAGCAATGGAAAAATGATTAACAGCATCAGTCTATGAATTTTAATAAAAAAAGTATAGTTCTATTACAATATGGAGAATCCATCTGCAATAGCTCTATCTGTATAAAATAATATTCCATTTCAATAACTATTGACTGAAATATTTAACGTTGACGATAGGTATTATAGGTAATTTTGTTTCTAGTTAGGGTGATTTGTCTACCCATTTGGCCACACAGAAACGAATGTGTACACGTATGAGTGTGTACTATTTTCATTTTTTTTTCTCTGTTTTAGTACACAAAATATTTTGCACATATGAAGCATACACCGGTTGATTGGAATTTAACTGCAAGTAGAGAGCGATGGACATCAAACCATCCATTCAGTAGACCTGATATAGTCCAGGGAAGAATGCTGGGCGGCTCAAGCAGTCTCAACCATTTGATTTATGGACAAGGTAATCCTGCTGATTATGACGGTTGGGCATCAATTACCGATGATCCTTCATGGTCATTCAAAGCCATACATCATTATTTTATCAAAAGTGAAAAAATTGCTGACAGGAAAATTCTTACCTCTATTGATGATAAAAATATGCACGGGACTACAGGGAAAATGAAACTAAGAAAATTCTACTTTGAAAATAGTGAAAAATATCTTAGAGCCTTTAAAGAAATGGGTAACAAGATAGTGCGGAGTATTAATGCTAAACATCCTCTAGGATTTTCTCCTGCTTTGTTTACTTGTGGTAAAAGAGTCCGGCAAAGTACAGCGTATTCATTTTTGAGACCTGAGAAGTACAATCCCAATTTGAATGTACTGACAAACACTATGGTCAGAAAAGTTATATTTGATGAGTTTCATAACGCTATTGGTGTTGAAGTGATTAGTAAAGATAAACGTGTCTTACATGTAGAAGCACACAAAGAAGTCATAGTTACGGCAGGAGTTTTTAAAACACCACAGTTGTTGATGCTTTCTGGTATTGGTCCAAGGAAACATTTGAAGGACAAAAATATTAAGCTTGTTGCAGATCTTCCAGTAGGTAAAAATTTACAAGACCATCCAATCTGCGTCTCAGTTTTCAAAACGGGTCTGAAAAAGTTGCCAGATGACATCCCAAGTCCTTACAAAATCGATTTTCCTCAATTACATGGTTATGTATCGCTTAATGATTTTGAAACGATTCCTACATATGAAATACGTGGTATGATTCTTGATGATCCAGCAACTTTTTTAGAACTTTGTATCATGTCTTTGAATTTTAAATACACTTTGTGTGACGACCTAGTAAAAAGTGCCGCTAACCATGAAATCTTTTTAGTACTTAATCATCTTTCATATCCAAAATCTCGAGGAGAAGTCCGTCTTGGTATAAAGAACATTAACGAGCCACCTATCGTCAAACTAGGCTTCTACCGAAATGAAAAGGACTTAGAACTTCATGCTAAATCTCTTATGAATTTCAATCGTATATTAAATACCTCGTATTTTTGGAATAATAAAGCGCAAATATTAGAGCCCCCTATAGGTTGCGGTAAAATTAATTTTAGCTCATTAAAGTATTGGCAGTGTTACTGCAATGAAATGGCGACCACGTTACATAACAACGTTGGTACTTGTGCAATGGGAACTGTAGTAGACTCCAATTTACTTGTAAAAGGTGTCCATCGACTCCGTATAGCGGATGCCAGTATTATGCCTACAATTGTGTCATCGCCAACTCAGGCATCAGTGATTATGATAGCTCAAAAAGCTTCAGATATGATTAAAGAGGACTTTGTACGTCATAGTAAATAATTATGTTCTACCAAGCTATGATCCTTTTATTGACTTTTAACATATTTATTTATTAAAATTTGGACGTTTAATAAGCTTCTGTCTACCCGTTCGGGATTAAAAGACGTGAGTATGTGTATGTGTATGAGTAAAAAGTTATTAAATGCCTTATAAATTGGTTGTGGTCCCAACTTTTCAAATTATTGCTGGATTTTTAATTTAAATTGTCTGGCTGCAAACGTTAATTTCGAATATAAATAAAAATTCTAGTTAAAAAATCAAAGTTTTTTGCCATCGTAAACATGCCATTATAATTAAAGTTTTGGTTTGTTGCATGTAAGGTTTGCGTTATTTTATTTCAAATATTACTATCTCTTATAATTTACTAACTAATTATACGAATTTTATCCAGCAATTTTGCCCGCATTACACAACACATTTGGTTTGTTGCATGTGATGTTTTAACTTGCGTAATTTCATTTCAAATATCACTTATAATTTACTAACAATATATACGAATTTTATCCAGAAACATTTCTTTTCTGTAATGTATTTTATAGTATAAATGATATTTTCTTTCACACCAGGATTTAAATTCATAGATTCTCAGTATCTTTGAAATATTTATGCTACAAATAAATCTATGAATCTATGCAGGTGTCTACTTACATAATTATGTAGTCACAAGTAATTGCTTAATACTAATTACTTAGGACATACGAGTATATATTAAAGTGTTTGATTAGTTAGAATAAGTTATGATGAGTGTTGTGTCCAAATCTCAAGATAGTAGGATATATTTTATCCTTTCCTTTCCTTTTTTTGTCTTTTTTAATTTAGTTATATATTATAGAATTATTCTTGTAATTAGATGTAAGTGATTGTACAATTTGTTATAAAAATTGTTATAAATATTAATATAAACAAAGTTTTATTGCTTAGTGAAATTCTCACCATACACTCTTCCACTCATTGCATCCATCTTTTTAGTTTAGTTGTCCTCGACTCTTGTAACTACCAGCTTTTATACACGAAGCTATCACACATTGCGCCTGTTTCTATCTCCTATTTCGCCTGTGTTCGATGAGACTGCAAAAACGCATAAAAGCAGTTTGCAATACCGTATACTTACAAAATTCGCAAATTAAAAAATTTAGATATTTACATGTAATAAAGACATTTTTAGAGGTATTTTTTTGCCAAATCCATTTAAAATATCATGCCAAGATATCACAACCAAGTTGCAAAACTGTATCCAATTAACCAAGATAGTCAATTATTTCTTCTTCCTGTTAAAATTTAGAAAATGTGGTTTTGCGAGTTGCACGGCAATCAATTGCCTGTTTTTTAAACAAACGTCGATGTAAGCATATTTAGTGTATTACAAGTAGGATCCAATGGAGCAGAAAATGAAATCATCTTAAGTTTTTCTTTAATTAAATACCTGATCATCGGTAGAATTAATTCCTATACTATATCGATGATGTGGTATTGGATGATAGATATGCTACCGATCTTATTCTTATAGAAATTACTTTAAATTGGATAAAATGCACTTAGTTTAGGTTAGATTTTAAGAAGTAAAACTAAATCAATTAATGCTAAAAATTAGATATAAGGATATAATTTAAGACTTCTAAAAATAAAACAGTGTAATGTAATTAAATTTTGTCTAAGAAATGACGTATTTCTTAAAAAAACACTATTAAATGATTTTAGAGAGGAACACTGAATTTCATTTTTTTTTAATTTTAAAATATGAAAGTAAAAATGTGACTGCACGGATGGCGTAGTGGTTTAAGCGGTCGCCACGCCGCTTCCTACAACGCCGAGTGTTGTGGGTTCAAACCCCACATGTGACGACACTTTGTGTTTTTGTTTTTGTTTTGTTTTTTTTTTTTTTAAAAAAGACAACGCCCGCATTAGGAATAAATCCTGTGTCGCGGGGGACTTTACAAACATACATGAAACGGACACAAAGAACACCCAGACTCAGAACAACAATTTGTGGATCACACAAAGTGTCGTCCCATGTGGGGTTTGAACCCACAACACTCGGCGCAGTAGGAAGCGGCGTGGCGACCGCTTAAACCACTACGCCATCCGTGCAGTCAAAGTGTGCAGTGCAGTGCAGTGTGATCCACAAATTGTTGTTCTGAGTCTGGGTGTTCTTTGTGTCCGTTTCATGTATGCTTGTTAAGTCCCCCGCGACACAGGATATATTCCTAGTGCAACTCCCGCACTAGGAATATATCCTGTGTCCTGTTTATATTAATATTTAAAAAAAAAGAAGATTTTTTTTATAGTAAGATGCAAGAGTAGCACACTCTTGAAATAGTCTTTTAAAGACTCGATCAGAGCTCAAACATAAGTTGTAACGATAGTGCCACTATCTTTGCAATATGCTCTAACGTTAGTTGCTTTTAGCTGATTACTGATCTTCAATAACCGCCAACCACATAAGCAAAAACTCCTAAAAGTGATTAAATGGCGGTGCCTGTACCCACCAAATGGAAGGAACTGATAACAATTGTACCTAACAAAAAAATGAACGATGAATGATTTTCCTTCGCTATATGACGTGTTATATTCAATTATATGCTCTCATGACTATAATATAGAAGTACATGTTTTTTTTTCTCTATTTCCTAAAGCCGAAAACACCTGTTTTAATATATTTCGTTTTATTGGCAACTAGCTGGTGCCCGCGACTTTGTTCGCGTGGAATTTGAAAAGCGCTGCCTTAGTGAGTTCGATTCCCGGACCAAGCAAAATTTTGTAGGGTTTTTCTGAGAGAAAAAAATGCCTTAGTTACTCCTTATATAGACAGCTAATTGGTAGTAAAATATTAACTAAATCGGTCCAGCCGTTTTGAGGATGACCCGGAACAAACAGACAGAAAGACAGACAGACAAAAAATATTTAAACTGGTTTTTAGGCATAGGTATCGTGCAAATAACGGTGTAAGCATGAAAAAAACCTCTTATTTTGACATTACAAATAGATACTTCAATTTTATTTATTTGTATAGATTTTTTTAAGCGTTAGGAATTTGTTATTTTTGTTATTTGTTATGTTAGTGACGCATGAGCTCGTATCAGTTTAGAAAAATACAGCATAATAATCTAAAATAAAGTTAACACTGGTATTAAGATATGTAACCAGTTTTATTTCTGATAAGTAACTATTCTGGAATAAGATAAACGTAAGTATTTAGATGCTAACAGCAGCATATATACATGTATGGTGGCACGTATTATATAGTTAAGCTATTCTTCAAAAGCGATATTATTAACTCTATTAAAAAACTTGTAAAAATATAAATACGAGAAAAAAACAACACACTGCAAAACCTTTAATAGTCCACTGCTGAATGTAGGCCACTCCTTAGAAAAGAAGTTCTGGCCTACTATACAAGGGCTGCTATTTATGTATCCGGAACTGACCATAAACAGAACAATATTAAAAAAGTAATTATAACATTTAAAAATGGAAAGCCAAAGTGTGGCTAAAGAACACAATTTGTTTTATGTAGCTGTCATTTGTTTATCATTTGTGGCGTCATTTAGAAAATTGCGTGTCTTTATCGCTATGGATTTAACTCGTAAAAATTTTTGTGCTTTGATTTATAACGATTTTCGGTGAGGGCTAACTTAAAAACAGTGCATCGATCAACTCACTTCGACTTTTGGGGACGAAGCACCATCAAAAACAACTGGTCATAACGCTTTTGATCACGCTTAAAGTGCTTAAAAGCTCTCATAGCTAAAGAGAACTATATTACCAAACATTGTATTAAAAACTTGGCGTACAGCATATCAAATCGCATAACCGTAGTCATCACAGCAAGTAGAGGTTACTCAGTTAAATATTAAAATAAAATAAAAACGTAAACTTGTGTAAAAATGTGTATTCTATTTGCGTTCTTAGACGAAACTGATAAATTATTTCTTTCTAATATTTTAATGAACTGAATACGAAATGACTAATAAATTTTATTATTTTAATTTACTATTCGTATGATGACGAATTAAGAATACGGAGTGTCACCACCCCTATTCATCCCACGGGTGTCGTAAGAGCCGACTATAGGAAGCAAATTACTCAGGACATCAGCACTGTTAATTTATTATGTGTATGATTTAGCATGGTGTTGGCGGTAGCTGTCTTTAAGCGGCCACTGACCCCAGGCTGAATTGAAGAATAAACTGTTAGCTTTCACCCTATATTTAGTCAGAGTTTGCGGGTTCCATTCCCACCCAAAATAAATAGTAATGTAATGAGAATATTTTTTGCTTTGTTTCTGGGTAAAATTAATTATATACAAATATTTAGCATGAAATACCATAGTACGTGAGAATATAATTAGTAATATCAGCAACCTGGTTGCCTTTGTACAAGCTCTGCCTAGTTCAGGATCGCCCTTTAGTCAGTCAAACGACTGACTAAGGCGTATCAAGTAATTTACTATCATTCATGAAGTATTGTATACTATTACAAATTTAATAAAAATAAATAAACTAAATAATAGTATACAGTGAGTACTTTTAAGAGACTCGTCAAGGATCACTATTTATCTCTGTAAGAACTATGTGTTATATATGTAGGTATGTAATGTATGTATTTATGTGTATATTTATATGAATGTATGTATGTGTATGAGTATGTATTTATAGACATTGCTCAACTTCATAACGTGCAAGCGATCTTTAATAATCTTTCGTTATTGCATTTGGATGACTGATGATAGATGACTGATGACTGATGATTTGCATGTACCCCTTATAGACGCTGATTTCGGGTACTTACGAGTATGTATAATATATTCCTGCCTTGATCACGTATTCTATAAGGGAGAGGTGGATGTGGAGACTATAGTCTGCTCTTCAGCAATATCTGACCACGACCTTATCATTACTGGTCTAACAGCAACGGCCACAACATCAACATCACCTCCAAGGTACAAATGCCTCCTTAACTACGACTCCATTTCAGAAAAGCTCAGCTATGTAGATTGGTCT